ACTTGAGCTTCATTCTGCTTTGGCTGCCAAGTTGGCATAAGTATCCTCATTGCACTGCTCCACTAGCAAGATGTTCTACAAATACTGCCTCTCGGGTTGCTGCTTTCTCTGTTGGTGAAGTGCAAGGCTTTGTACACAAGAAAAGACTTGTTCCAGGTGGTGACAAAGTAAGGATTTCAAAAGCAAGATTCAGAGCCTGTACTTAGTATCCCTTATCCCTTTCTCATTCTCTTTTTGGAAGACATTCCCCACTTCTGGCGTAATGCAAGACAAGTTCCCAGACATTTACAAGTGTGTATCAAAGGTATGAGCCACTGCCCAGCAACACAAAAATACGTATTTCTTTAAATGCATCACAAGCTTTCCATCCTTCCTGAGCGATCCCGAACTTCTCACATCTTCAGTGATTTCCAGGGGCAGGGAGGTAGGGGTAAGTACTGAAGAGACAAAACAAAAGGGGGAAGAGAGCAACACAAACAGAAAAATAGGAGAAGATCAAGCTTCAGCATGACAATTTTTCATCTGATGGAGACTTCCAGAAAAGCCTGCAGGCACTACTCACAGTTAGTACACTTTCTTTAAGGTATTTACTAACAAATTCAGTATATTTGCTTTGGTTTCAGCATTCAATCTTTAAAACCATACATAGCTCCAAACTCATGATGGAAAACCTTGCACCAGTTTCTAGTTTAATATCCAAGCTATTGCTTTACTGTACACTGAAGCAATAATTGAGCAGACTTGTCAACAGCCTTTACCTGCACACAAAACTACTTTTGTAAAGCACAGACTTGTGATCTGGGGTCCAAACAATGTAAGATAAAACTAGGCACTCTGCTATTATATGAGAAACCAAAACATTCCTGAGAAGAAAGACAACGAAGAAAAATAAGCAAAGCAATTATCACTACCAAAAGTAGAAAAGTAACTTAAATTTTTTAATTCCAACCCTTTAAAGTAGTTTTCTAACTTGCAAGTACTGAAGACAAATTCTACCCTGAAGGCCCACTTACCAAATGTTCTCAGTTTAACTTCTTTGGAAAATACTTGCCTTGCAATAAGAAATTAGAGAGACAGGAGTTGTTAAGTGATCTGCATATTGTCTTACAAGTATCTGAAGTGATTTGTGACTATGAGCTCTTCTAACAAAGGCACATAAGATGAACCTGCTGAAAACCTAACTTGGAAAAATCAAAATGGGATTTTTAAGAATTAGGCTACTGGAATAATCCACATATGAAATTGGTATTTTAAAATCAGAGGTAAATGTTAAATTCATCTTGTCCCCAGTTTTATTGCAGCATCCATATCTGCCGTACTTCTAGTAAAACCATTTTAAAACCAGCATTGACCCTTACCAGGCTGTATGCGTGGTTCTCTCCAGAGGGTGTTTTCCACATACATGACCATCTTAAGCCTTTCTCTTTGCTTCTAAACTACAAGACAGAGTAGCATGAAGACTGAATCAGCAGGATGACGCTATAAAAGAGTAAGTTCCTTCACCAGCTGTGAAGTGTAAAGCTCAAAGGCTTTATAAAGAACACTGTTTGGCTCTAAAGCCTCTCTTCTGTACCCACTGCCCTTTACCTCCACAGGTGTGGCTCTGTGCAGTCCGAGGATGCTCATCATCATGAAAGGACCTTAAGAAAACCTGAACTTCATGAAATGAGTATTTGCTATGGTAAATCTGGCAGAAACTTACATTGCCACCTCATTGTTTGATTTTCTTCCTCAGTCCTTACAGTAAATACAGAATGGGTACGTGACCGCTGGAAGGTCATTGTTGAAAAGGTACAGGAATTTTAGATGGGAGGAGGTGGAAAAAAAAGCCAAGCACCTGGAAAACACTTCATTGCTTCTTTTATTTAGATGCACCCACAATACAGAGCCTCTTGAGCATGTGCAGAAGAGGAAGATCACACATTTATAGCTGGGAGCACCACTGAGTTCGAGTTTCTTTGATACCATTTTTAAGAAAGTAAACTATTTCCAAAGAATTACATTTGAACCCAAGAGCTTAAGACCTGCTTGTACTTTATCCAGCAGTGGAAGTTATTTTTCTTTTATTATTACTTCGATGTAAAGTAAAAGACATTTTACAGTCTGGTTGGACCAGTCTATATATTTTCATATGCACCTTTTAATTTATATAAAAAAGGTTTCATTTCCCCCTTCCCCTCCCCCCCCCAGATAGTTAAATGCATCTAAATTTAAAAACAGTAATCGACCAGAGCATTCCTATGGGGAAAAATGAACTTTTGCTGCCCTCTCCTGCTTAAACAATGAAATGCTAAAATATTAAGATCTATGAGTCTAATGCTAACCTTGAACAAAAAGCATGACAAGTCATTCGCTATACTACAATCAAAAATAGGACAACAACAAGAAATGTATCGGTACTATTTATATTTGAAAACTCCTCATCGTTACATGAGGTTATGAATACAACGTATTTACAGTAAGTGATCCAAGTAACAAAAACTTGTATTCAGAGAGGTCATGATAAAAAGCGTTTGCTTCTGTGGATGGGAAGCAACACTTGGATAAAAGTTTTCAATCAGAATTAGTTCCATTCTGTTTCAAGATACTGTTTCATAGACTTCAAAATGAAAAACTGGGCTATACAAAATCTGCTTACATAGCAACCAGCAAAACTAATCCATGGCTCACTCCAGAGCTGCTAAGGGAAGAGGGTGAGCCAAAATAAAAAAACCCCACGTCTAAATAAAAACATTCTTCAATCTTGAGCATTGTCACCTTTATCTTGTTTTAGGGCAACTGCTGTGGGAGGGTATTGTAACATGGTTAAGAGAATAGGCCATCTTTGTTTTCCAAGAGAAAAATAAAACAAATTATTTCAGTTTTACTTGAGGGGGAGAGAATCTTGTCTTTCTCCCTCTTCAAAACCAATTAAGTTTTTAAAACTCCTAATGCATTCTCCTTTCCATAGATTGAGAGAGCCTGAGGCTGTACTTAATGCACTTACAATGTAAGTACAGCTGCTATCGTTCTCTACTAAAGCAGTTCTTGGCTCTAACACCCTAAATTTTTCCACATATAGGAGGAAATAAAAAAATAAATTAAATTCTTTTATTTATGCTAATGAAACCAAGATTAAATTTACTGTAACCCTTCTAGTGAACACTCCAATGGCATTAGAATACTTTTATTTAAAGCATTCCAACCTTTGGAAGAGACAAAAAAACACTCAAAAGCAAGGAAATAAAAACAGTAAGAGAGATTTGCAACATGAAGAAAGCAATGTGTGCTCAATTTAAAGTACATGAGAGAAACTTTACTTTTACAGTTGGCATATCCCCATGACCTGATGCAATGCCCTAGCATTGAAAATGCAGCTCTTTCCTTTTACCAGAGAGTGTTCAATCCTTTCTCCTGAAACCAATATGGTGCAGGACACGAGTGACCACCGCTGTATGAGCAGTTAATAAAAACATTTACACAAATAAAGGTAGTTTCTGGAACTCAAGAAGCAAACGAAAGCATAATTAAATAGACACACTGATCACACTTGGGCCCATACATTGCTGCCTTCTTTGCCTACAACTCCAACTGATAACAATGGGAGTATTGCAGACTGGCAGGACATCGCATTTGGATTGCGGCAAACAGTGGATCCCGGGGGTGTGGTCGTATCATTGTGGCAAGTGCTTCTTCATGTACATCGTACAGTGCAACCTAGTGTCGTATCAGCCTTCTAGAGTCAAGTGACTAATATCACATCGTCTCATTCACTTTAAAGAAACATCCCTTCTTGGAAGTGATAAATCATCTATAAACTTTAGATACTTCCCACCATCCCCACATCAGAGGTAACATTAGAGGTAACAAAATATTGCAACCCATCAGGTTTTCTTCAGTTTCGTATGATCAATACCAGAATGTCATGTCAAAACCAAAAATAGTTATGAACGAACAACACTCACCTAAACTCTAAGTACAGGACAAGGTGCTTTTTCTGATTTCATATTGTTGTGTTCTACTCCACCAGGTGGAAAACATTAATCTTTTTTCCTCCTTTCTATCTCAGTTTTTCACAACTGAACATTAGTCTTTGAGCATGAGTTTGGGTCCACCCTTCTCGTAAAGCATGATCATTTCACACAGAAATCACACTAGCAAGTATTTTTTGGTAACAGAAATAAAAGACTGCCAAAATCAATGGGCTAAGGGACACGATTTGTTATAAATTTATTTAATCTTCAGTATTTCAGCTTGCACCTTTGCTTCAGCACTTTAAAATAAAATGTTTCAACTATGACAGTAACTGCCTAATTTACATTGCGTCCCAGTCAATGTTCTTAAAAGAAGCTTGTATTAATCCCACTAAACCATGTTGTGTTTGGTGTTGCATATGACTAGTTCCAATTTTTTTTTCCAGAATTAACAGTGTCAAGTTTTTACAAAATTGTTGAGCTTACAACATTTGTGTGCGCAGACCCAGGAATACAAACCGTGACCTGATAATCCTGAAACAGTCAGTAGTCTAGGAGGGAATTCTTTTTTACCTCTTTTCTGTGCCTGAAAACAAGAAAACTGCAAATCCTACTGTATATTTAAATGGCAGGAAGAAAAATATACAAGCTTGTATTTATACTGTATTTCTATCAATGGCAACAGGTCATAAATTCATGTTTGCAACTATCACAAAGACTCATGAACACCGATTCAGTTTTATACTGTAAATACTGCTGGATTGATGGTTTAGGATTATCAATTCACTGTTGTCATATGTCTATAACAGTTCAAAAGCATCCTGGAGAAAAATCCTGAAACACATACCTTTCGGTATATAATAATGCAACTGCATTAGCTAAATATATACTGTACATAAGTCTTATCAGCAGTTTACCTACCAAAGATGTAAGATTCCACTTTCAAATACAAAGCAGATAGCCAATAATGTATACTTATAATACAGCCCTCTTTTTTGTTTTTGTATTTTTTTTCTTTCGTTTTAAACAATTTGGTCACAATGCACCTTTGATATAAAAGCATTTTAAACTTTATTATTAATACTCAGAACATTAGGATTTCCAGAATTTTTTTCAGTAGCATTTGTAGAACCACTTTTGGTAACAAATACAGTAGTTAGGAATGAGCATCCAGATGAGAATGCAGAAGTATATTACCCAGAATCCTTTCCAGCTAAGACCATAGGGCTGGTACTGTGATGAATAATAGTACTAGAACCACAAAAACACTATAGTATGTTTCTTAGAGGCTACATCCTCTTTTGCTGGAACACTTTATAAATACATATTAAAAAGTAAGGCAACAACTCCAAACAGTCCAAACTGCTATCTCAACTCAATTTCCAATTAGATCCATGACCACTGGAGACTAATTTCATGCTCACGCTGTTTAGCATTTGTCTTTATTCTTTCAAAATGGTCCAATAAAAACATACTGTAATAATTTAGCAATTAGTATTTCTAAAACAATTCCGGTATGCGTGTCCAATGCCACATCACTAATACTGGTTAGGTACTGAAGTCCAGGGTGTTACCACTGACCGTTTTTAAAGGATTGTGGACACTAATTTGGATCTGCAATAAATCGGTGCACAAATCCAAAGCTCCCTTGCCTACTATGTTTATCACCTACTTGTTTTTTTAACTCCTAATGTTCAAATTAAGGAAGCACCAGAGACAGCCTGGTACTAAAAAAAATGCTCACACCAGTAAACAAAACTTTTATTCAGGACCTATGTTTTTCATGGCCCTGATCTGAATGGACATTCAACTTATGAAGATGTGCAAAAGGAAAAAAAAAGTCAAATTACAGTAAAGTTATCCAGAGAAGGAGGATGTTACACAAACTCATAAGGAAATGACAGTCTTTTTTCTCTTTTACTATAAATACACTTAACAGTTTAGCAGAAAGACAAGCTAAATTTTAAGATTGTTCACATTTGAAAGTTGTATTATACTCTCTGCTAACGATAAATAAGGAACAGGTCCTGACAATGGAATTTGACATCGCAATTTTCATCAACAGATCTTTGAAGACTGGTTTTAAAGAAGGGTTAAAACAATGACTATGTTTGCAAAGTTCTGAGAAGTCCATCTGCTGTCCAAACTTTGGATTAAAGTCCTTATTTTTTTCCTTTACTTAGAGACAGGTATATACAGTGCTGTTGTAATAATGAAACAAATGTGAAATCTACTGTAAAGTTGCACAATACAGAAAACTGTTGCTCCATCTTCTACTACATAAATGTGTGACTCCACAGGTTAATAATGCTGTTTTGTTTTTTTTTGTTAAGTTGGAATTATTCCATCACGTCTAAGACCTCTCTTTAATTCCAAATCCTCCAGTTTTTTCCACAGTTCTTCACGTTCTTTCTCTTTCTTCTTCTCACTGACAGATGAAATAAAAAAAAAAAGTTAGCAGGATAGAATACTGTAGAATATTTATGTTAAATACATATATAGCTGACACCAATTAGCAGCACTAATTTTGTTGAACACAACTGCAATTTTCCTAACACGTATTTAATTTTTTAAAAAATATTGTTACCTACATAAATATCACTGAACAAAGCAGTACAAAAAGAACATAAAACATAAGCTGACGGAAGTGACAGTATGTGCTGACACTAGTTTGCAATGCAGAAGAAAAAAAATGGGCTTTTATTATGGAGTATTTTTAAAATATTTGATATATTATGGAACAAAGATATCATGATTATAAAAATTAACATTTCAGGACTGGCTTGCATTTAGTTATTTTCAAGATACCTTTAAGAAAGGTATTTTTTAATCTTATAAATAGCAGCCACTTTCTAGAACAAGTATTTCCTTATTCTTTTAGAATCACTGTTCTAACTTACATTGACTGGTGGCTTTCTTATCACTTAGGTAGCAGCCAAGGAAAAGTTCAAGCTACAAGATGTGGCCTTCCAGTAATTTACTCTCTTTCCTTACAAATTCCCACAAGATCTATGTAGCGTTTGCTTTAACAACAGACTTTAACAACTAACCTAACATTTACTTCACCTGCATTATTTACTTTCTGAACTTCCTGTCTCTGCCATGGCCTACTTTGAATAAATCTCCTTGATACTGCAAGGTACAAAATTCTTTCAATTTCTACTACATCACCTTGTAGGTTCAGGTGAAATGGAAATCTTAACAATTACAGACAGATTCTCTGACAGTCACATTAAAGAATTTTTGAAAAAAAATTTCAGTGGATTAGAAACATTCCTACACACCTTAATTCAGCCAAAACGCCAATATCTGGCTCATTTATCTGAAATTTTAATATCCCAAGTTTATTTTAAACATATAAAAATGTAATCAACTTTCAGCTAAATCCTGAAGAATGTTAAAGGGTAAAAGAAAAACAAACAAACAAGTCCACAGTCACTAAAAAGTATTTCAAATTAAATATAAGAATAAGTGAAATAGCCTGATATTTTCAGACTACTTACCAATATTTATCTTCTAATCATATGCCTGTTTACCTAAAAGACTGTTAGAGGACGATCACCTTATTTAACTTACCTATTTGACCTATCAAAGTCATTAATATCTAACATATTTCTCCTCAAGCTTTAAGTGGTACCAAAGTTACCCTTTTGAAATTCAGTTCTATTAAGATGCTGAAGATTTTCTGTAAACATTAAGGCTTTACATGTTTTAAAATGCTAAGTAGCAAATAAAAATTATTAAATAGTTAGCATCAGCCTTGATAGGAACTACAGCATCAGCAGGTGCAAGGAAACTTCTTTGTGCAGTTCAGACAGTAAGCCTCACTCATTATCCAGACATGGGTCATACTGGTAAGTGTCTGGACCTGTTGAGGGCAGAGTTCCTCATCTTAAGGAGCAAAGTGAAATCTCAAATTGATTTAAGTCACTGAGTTCCCTCAGTGAATGGGTGGATTAGATGACCAGTCCTAAGATTCTCTGCCTTTTCTGCTAGAAAACCACACAGCATTGTCTCAACTGCACTAACAGACTGAGCCTTATTTATCCATAACTATCTGGAATTGATCTGGCATCTTAGCTCAACTACATATCCAAGTCTCTAAAATTAAAATAATGTATTAATGAACTAACCTGTTAAGTGTAGATTTGTGTGTGCATAAAACTTTGTATTTTACAAAAACGAAGCAGAACAAAAGGACACTGTGACTCTGGTCACACAATTCAAAAAACACATCCTCCCAAGACTTTAGAGACAATGCTAACTAACAAGTTTAGATGGCATACAGTACCCTTTGCTTTGCTTGGAGAACCCTGAGTCATAAAAAAGTATGACTTAAATAAAGTTGCAAACTGTTCAGAGTTCCTGAAGTTTCCTCTTTTTTTTCACCTGACACTTTGGATAAGCTGAAACTTTTGAAAAAAGATGCTGCTCTTTAATTGGAAAATTAAGATTAAGGAAAACAGGAGAAAAGACAAAAAGCATTTTACCAGGGTAGAACTAATGTATGTATGATTGGTGTATCTAATGGATCCTGCATGGTAGAAGACTCAGATATAGCAAGACCCATGAATAAGAAATGAAACGGTTGAGAGACACCTTTTTTCTTTAAGACTGTATCTAGCCTATGGACTATAGTTTGGAAAATCAAATCTTAGGGTGTTCCCCTCATGTCTCCAAACCTCAGTGTAACTTTTTTTAAAGTCTTTAAGCAAAGTGTTAGCTTTAAACCCTTGTTTTTCTTTTACTATTGAAGATCTTGATATACTTAAGTCTTTTGGAATGTGGAGTCAAAAGGAATTCCATGAGGAATGTAATTCCCAAGCAATGCAATGGATACTGTATTTCATAAGGGATAAAGAATAACCTGCGTATGATATTATCTTGCATCTTCCAAGGAGAAGGCTGAAGAGCATGCAAGGGGAAAAATGAGGCACTGTGTCTATTATGTATGAGATTATGCAATTGCACCTGAGCGTAAGGGAAAAACTAGAGAGCAGCCCTTATGCACAGCTGAAAAAAAGCTTTAAAAAGTTACCGCTGACGATCTGACTTGTAAGTGGCTGTCAGCTCATCAAACATGGTGCTGTTCATTTCCATGAATGCCTTCAACACATTGTAGACTAAAGCCACAATAGCCCTATGAAACATTAAGAAAGAAAAAAGGAGTCTATTAGTTTCAGATGAAATCAAATGTGAAATAAAGGTGTCTTCTCTTACCAGCATTGCCACAACCAATTCTGCTCTTGTAAGTACGATAATGTAAATTCTTTGATTTCAGTGAAACTACTTTTGATTAACATATTTAAAGGTGAGAATCAGCTTTCTTGTCTCTACTGACTATTTAAATGGAGCAACCCAAAACTCTAAGGTAAAAGGTAACAACAGAAAGCTATTACATATAACTACAGACTCTTTTTTTTTTTCAATTCTGAATTCATCTCCAGGGATTCAAATCATCAATGCTGGCAGAAAGAATAGAATTTAAACATGAAATGGGAGTGATTCATATTTCCTTATGATTTTTCTATGAAGCTGAACATTCAGTGCCTCTATGCAAAATAAAGCTGTATTTCAAGCGTGATTTCCTTGTACTCAGACATTTCATATTCATTTTGACTTCGATACTGCAAAAAAGTCTTTAAAAGAAACCCCACAGATCCTTGCAGTACCTGTGTAAAACTGTGTGTTTATATATAAATACATATATATAAATGATCTTTTTCATATATATATAAAATATATATATCTATATATCTTTCTCTAGATAACCTCTGCCTACTTACATATTGCTGTTACTGACCTTACCCAAGAGCCAGTACACCACTGCTTATTTGAATTCAAGTTGCTTAATTGCATAAAACATAACAGGCATGATCTGTTCATACAAGAAGAAATGATGTGTAATCATAATTTCACAAAGGCTTCAAAGGCATTCTGTCCCACAAAGGTTCTAAAAAGGTAGATACATTTTACGCTTTTATACTGTTTGACTGGATAACTAACCTAAAATATGCTAGACTTTGGAAAGTAAGATGGATCTGCCAATCATCTGATTATTTAGGGGTCAAAAGTTCTTTTTGGCAGAGTTGAAGATAAAGAAACAACAAAGCAACTGAAAAGGGAGAAGGGAAAGAAACAAAGCTAAAACCATCTTGAAGAATTTAGCATAGATTATCAGTCAAGAGATTATAGTTCCTGATCCACTACTATGGTGGTTATATTCAGACACGGGTCTGCTTAAGAAAGAGCTTAGAAGACAGTGAATCACCATTACAGGTACCAGGAACCTTTGGGACTAACCTATACGGCAGGCAAATTCTGTGCCATTTCCCTTGCACCCATGTCTATCATTCACTTCCTTCAATAAACTTTTTTGTTACCTACATTTAGAAATGATCTTACAAATACAGAAGTTCTTTAAATACCTTCTTTATTTTACATGTATCTTAACCTGACTTGTGTGTCAAAGGCACAAAATTCCTGCAGGTATGAAAATTCTGCAAACTGGGATAACTGGAATATTCTCATTACCAGAAGCATCCCAGTGCACAGTATAAATGGTTGGGCAGGAGTACACGCAGGCTGGAGACTGGTAATTCAGTAATGCCATGAAAAGTGTCTTTTTGTGACCAGCATTATTTAAAGCTTTCCAGTAGCACTAGATTCATCATTCATTCTGACAAACTTGAGCGTTTGGCTATGTACAGAACAAAAAGACTTATTCTTGAAAAGATGAAATACTTTACAAACACTTTACAGCAAGGTCTTAAAGCAACTGGGACTTGAAGATAGCACAGCTCATTAAAAATACTGGGTTTATTAAATGGTAAACCATTATGGCTTCAAAAAACTTTTCAACTATAGAACAGATGGCATCCAAGCGTAATAGTATTTTTCATTAAAACACTTTATACTGGGTCATTCAGTTAAAAAAAAAATGCCAAATTAACAGGATCTCAATATGAAGCAACTGCTCTATTACTGTGTGTAATAGGGACCACCTGTGTTTAAATCAATTTAGAAAAAATGAACCCAGCCTATATGGCTTGTCTATATGCTGAATATGCTGATGTCTATATGCTTCATAAGATGTTTAGAAAAATGCCAGTACCAGAGGTCTACCGGAGGTATCAGTATCATCCATGATACAGCCACAAAGCTTTATTAATGCCAAGCAACATTCTTCTAGACAATTTACAATCAGGTTTAAGATGTTAACCAGTTTATAAAAAACTGTGTAGGTGAAATGCGTGATGAGCAACACTTCTTCAATAACAACGTAACATCTGATTGCTTTTTCCAACTTGTGACAAAGTCTATTTTTATCTTACAAGGTACTGATTTTTGTACATATACCAGATAATTAAAAAACATTTTGAGAGAAACTCAAGTATAGACTAATTTATCCTGGCATTAACAGAATGGCACCTGTTTATGCCAGCTTTGAATCCGGATCTCTCTGATGTTCTTCAGCAGACATTCCCCAAGTTTATCAATGGCATGTCAAATGGTAAGATAAAGTGTAATGGCAAAAAACTTACGGATTCCAGTGTTCTTTAGAAATCCTATAAAGGCTGGAAAACATTATGGGAAGTATAACATTTGAATTCTCCTCTATCAAACTCATGATGTATTCATTATTCCAATAATACAGTGCTCTTTCGGCCACCTTCAAGTCAAAGGAATAAATATTAACAGGAATTCATACAGCTATAATTTCGCAATTTTCTCAAGGAAAAATAAATCACAGAGAAATTTTGTGAAGATGTTTTTAACAGGAATCATTAACTTTGGAATTAAAACTCTACTTTAATCAGTAGCATAACATGCATTAATGGAATTAAGTTTTTATCCTATAATTCAAATCCCACAGCATCCACTATCTCTTTCCCCTGAGTGATATGCTGTTACTCACTGAAGACCAGGTGCAGACAGTGCATTAATGCTACAGCTGTGGAGGGGAAGGGAGAGCAGACTGACTTCACATCGCCCCTCTCCCTCAATCCTGTGACTGCAGTCAGAAGGAAGAGAGCTGTGCTGGGATACCACGGGAATGAGAAGGAAAAGGCCCAGTAGCTGGGCTGAACAAGGGAGGAGATATCTTAAATGTGGGGAAGGTACCAATGATAATAATCACTTTGGGGAGAAGCTGGGCCGGGGGGGAAGGGTTCTGTTACGAGGGAAAACACTGATCTAAATTATGCTAAAAACAAAGGTAGTCCCAGGAAGAGATGAAAACAGACACAGCTGCCTCTGAGCCATGACAGGTCACCTAGCTTAATATGAAGACACTACAGGCCATATATCCTACCTCCTCTTCACATATGATTCAATTTAAACCCTATTCATTCCCCTCCTTTCTGTTAGGCAACATGAATGGGCTATGGGTTCTATCACCTCTAACCAGATGCCTCCTTACAGAAGGAGATAAGTAGGAAAACAAGAATGGTGCACAATACTGCATTAAAAAAGGAGCAAATACATCCTACATGGTCCATCAGACCCAAGGCCATATGGTGAGTACACATCACCTACAGCCAGAAGGGCTCGAAGTCTGCTTGGATACAGTTTAAGGCCTTATGTGGCTCAGAACAGCAAGGTCTGTACTGTAACCCCAGATACATCTAACAAGTTACTCATGGAGCTCAGAACTAAACTTCCACTGCAACATACCCTCTTCCATAGAAATCCAGAAGACAAGTATTTAAAACCATGTAAAATGAAATTATATATACATTTGGAGCAGTGTTATGTTTGAAACTGAGACAATACATTCCTATACAAACAATAACCTCTAGGACTGACCTGAAAATGAGGGCTAGAAACACACTTGGCAATTTGTTTAAACAAGGGTTCCTGGATTTTGACAAATTGTGATGGTTCAATTACATCCAAGATTTCCTCCAGCTCTCCAAGGAACATGACCTAAAGACAAGGAAGGAAGAACTGAATATAAAACCTCTGAATCATCTTGATCAGCAAAATGCTGACAACTTTCAAATCCTACTTTTTGGGAGAAATGCAAGCCACGCTAGCTCAGCAAGACCCTCCCTCAAAAACCACGATCAGCTCCACGTTTAGCAGCTTCTAGATTGAGTCTCCTAAAAGACTGAGGACTAACGTGTGCAAACGCTGTATTTAAAGCAGTCCTTTACAACAAAATTCAGAATTGCACCAGTATATCCATGCTGAAAACCTAGCCGAATACAGTCAAAGAATTTGGTCAAGACTTTAACTTTGTTAAGCAAGGAGAGTCTCTTAATTTCACTTCATTTTTGGAAGCAATGTTCAAAATAATGGTTTCACTGTGCCACAGTATCTCATTAGGGAAACTCAGATTTGCATCAAGGATTTGAAGCAAAAATACAAAGGTCTAAGTGCACCTTTTACATGCTTAGTAAGTAAATGCTAGACAACAAAATATCTTTAATCCTCCCTGGAAAAATATTATCCTCACATACAAACAATTCCAAATCTAACAGAATTTACCAATCTATCCTCAACTTCATTTTCTCCTTCTGAAACAAAAAGAAATTGTCTGCAGAAGAACCAGTGTTTGTTTTGTGAATAGAACCCATGAATATCAAACCTTTCAGAGTTAAAACTGTCCAAAAAAACCCCCAGAATTCAAGTATGGAAAATCACCTACAAGAATTAACACCAGGATCCACCACAGCATGTGCTATCTACCTGGAAATATCTGCCTGCCTGTTATATTGTAAAACAAAATAATAGTTGTGTTTTGTGAACACTAGAGTATCACTTACCTCTTTCTGACTGCAGGTTTTTGGCCAGAATTTCATTAAACCTCTAATGACCTAAATTAGAGGGGAAAAAAGTTACATTTTTTATTTTTCTTTCAACAGGGTAAGCCATTTATGATGCAAAAAAAAAAAAAAAATTATGAAAGAAATATTTACTGGTTCCGTGAGTGAAGGGTCTTTCTCCAGAAACTGTACTATGCAATACGCCAGCTGTGAAGCAGTAAAGATTTAAGAAAATGAAGTTAGAACATTTCTATAAAGAAACCACAAAGAAACAATTATTTTTAAAAGAGAGACTCAAGACAAGATGCTACACAGCTTTCTCAAATTGCACCCAATTTTAAACTGAGACGTATAGTTTGCACTGTGCAAATCCACCCAAAGATCAGTTCATAAGAAACAAGAGAACATATTACAAAAAAAATAAATTAGGGTAACAAAGTAGCATACACAATAACAATCAGAGCACCTTGGAATTCTAAATACAGTCATACAACCAATGTTTTGAAACTTCTGTTACTCTCTGAAACTGTGTCTTTTTACACATTTTATACATCAGCAAAATCATGAAAACTCTTGGCAAGATAAGCTGAGACAGGTAAAAACTGGAATAACATTTAGAACAGTACTACCTGAAAATCAGAGAAAAAGGCAACAGGTATCACTTATCAGAGGAAAAACTAAACTACGTCATGAAAGCTGAATGTATAAAAAGATACATGAGAGCATAAATACAGTATTAAGAAATCTGTGAGGGAGAATGTTAAAGATGATGCAAAAATGTGGGTATTGGTATTCAGAAAGTTGCCAGGATGAAGAAGAGCCTTGACAGCACAAAACTAAGGAAACCCAAATATCCTCTTGGGAGAGGGAATGGGAAAAGCAAACTTGTGAGAATGAGAAAGTATCAGAGAGAAATGTAAAGAGAGTTTACTAAACAAAATCCCCAAAATATTAACAATTTTTGTTATACTTTCAATTATCTAATCAGAAGCAAAATATTTATTATACAAAGCACATTAAATGAAATGGGTGAAAAAAAAATCTATCGCACTTTTTCTACATTTCAAAACTTCCCCCCAGCTTTTATGTATTAAGCAATTACATTTTCAAAGCAACCTTAAAAAAAGTATCATCCTGTATCACCCAAGTGAGCAGAAAATATTTTTATTAATTTCTACCTGTGCATGGAAGAGTGATAAACTCCTGACAGTATGTAAAGGGATCAGAACCTTCACCAGAAACTGTTTATGCTCTGCCTTAAGAGGTAAAGCAAACCCATTGATAATACTGGAAATTAGAAGAGAAATATTTGTTAGTGTTATCATCACAGGAAACATTCTTGAAGTCTGAACAAGCACTTTCTAGATTAAAATAATTTAGCAGTCAGCATCTGTTTACAAATAGCAGGCTCATGCCATTTGTAAACAGGTGCTGACTTGCATCCTGCTTTATATTAGCAGTGCAGTACATATCTAGGCAGCAATTCAGCTCTGACTTAGGAATAATCATACAAACAGCTGCACAAACTTGTTGCCAAACAGGTAAGACCTTGCCTATGTGGTCTGTAAATCCGTGTAAGCAAGATGTTCTGGAGCAATTAATTTAGAAAATTAGATTTACTTAAAATATTCACACTGTTAGTGTGCTCAAAATAATGTAATTATTTCTACAGCATGTAAGGATGAAGTGCGCAAAATTTAACACGCACATACAGAAAGTCAATCCAACACTTTTGGCTCTAACTTGCATCCAGTTACACATTCTTGGCAAAGACATGACAGAGATTTGCACATGGGCATAAAGACGAACATATGCGCACATCTGTTTTCAGAATCAGGGCTTATAGCAATACTTTTTCCAAATCTGACACGGTTCTGATGCATCCAGAAGGGAAGTTTGAGATAGGTAACAAATAAAGACTGATTTACCTTCCTAAAATTTCCAACAGTTCAGCTACGCCATTGAAGTGTTCAGTTTCATAAACAAATCTAAAAAAAGAAAAGTTAAATATAAGTAATATATTGGTTTCTTAAAATGTTCATAAGCAAAACGTACCTTCTTCCACAACTTACCGTAGAAAAATATTATTAATCTGTTTTCGGATAAATGCTCTAAGACCCAGAAACTTGCCATAAATTCTGTGCAAGACTGTTTTCAGGTAGTCTCGTTCTCGAGGGTCTTCGCTGTCAAACAGCTCCAACAGCTGTGTTTAAAGGGAAAAGAGAACTGAAGCAGTAGACATTTGACGAGTATGACACACAAACTTCTATATAAAAGAAGAATTACATGTTCATGCATGTAAAAATGCAATATCAGTAACCCAAGGTGTGGAAATACAGTATTAAAAAAATCTGTAGTTGTAACCCCACTACATCACCAAAAAACAACTCAGTTCCACGTCTGGCATAACAAAAGTTTGGCAATCTCAAACAACTAATAAACTTCTGATTAACTGGCTCCAAAATGCTGCTTTCATTCTCCTCCTCCAAATCAATAAATTCTTAGATGTTGTTGTATCTACAAATAGGACAGTTTGCCTCTTACCATACACCACTCCCTCACTCTGAAGAACTAAAAGATCCTCATTTGGTCTTATTTGTTCCCACAAAATTGTGTCAAGCTCACATTTTTCTAATTGCGTGTAATTTGTATTACGAGTTCTGAAGCCTTCCTAGTGATTGCATGGCCATCACACTGTGGAAAGGCTCAACAGTGAAGTCTACGCCAGCACTGAATCTGTGGTTACATGATCTCCACCAGTCAACACAAATCAAAGCATCAGGTGGAATTAATCCTCCTTGTTGAACATCCCACTGTCCATGTCACCGACAAAGACGTTGAACAACACAGGTCCCAACACCGACCCCTGAGGAACACCACTCGTTACTGGTCTCCAACTGGACATTGAGCCATTTACCACAACTCTTTGTGTGCAGCCATCCTGCCAGTTCTTTATCCACTGAGTGGTCCATCCATCAAATTGATGTCTCTCCAATTTAGAGACAAGGATGTTGTGCAGGACAGTGTCGAACGCTTTGCACAAGTCCAGGTAGATGACGTCAACTGCTCTGCCCCTGTCCATCAGTTCCGTAGCCCTATCATAGAAGGCCACCAAATCGGTCAGGTGAAACCATGCTAGCTGTCACCAACCACCTCATTGTTTTTCATGTGCCTCAGCATCCTTTTCAGGAGAATCTGCTGCAGGATTTTGCCAGACACAGAGGTGAGACTGACTGGTCTGTAGTTCCCCAGGTCTTCCACCTTCCCCTTCTCAAAAATGGGGGTTATATTACCCTTCTTCCAGTCACCAGGAACTTCACCTGACTGCCATGATTTTTCAAATACGATGGACAGTGGCTTAGCAACTTCATTCGCCAGCTCCTTCAGGATGGATTTCATCAGGTCCCATGGACTTGTGCATATTCAGGTTCTTAAGATGGTCTCAAAGCTGATCCTCTCCTACAGTGGGCCTAAGGTCTTCAAAAGAGAATGCCATCCGGTGTCTTTCATATATTCCGACACACTGACACCTGAAGTTGTCTCTAAGAATTAAGGTATTTTTTCAGGAATATCACCTGCAGATCCTTCTTCTATTCCCCTTGAATCCCCTCCTTAGACCTTCTTCATTCTTTTTGACATCACAGCATTGGCTATTCTGGCAGACGGTTGGGATAAGTTAGAAAATAAACTTTATTTAAAAAACAAAACCAACCAACCAAACACAAAAACTAAACACCACCCCCCTAGTGCACAGAAAAAAGGTAAGTTTAAGGTAGTAATCATAAGCAACCACTTGTTTGCATGAGAAAGAAATTAACTGTCAACCAGTACCTGTCTTGCAAGAGAAATGAAGAGTTTGACAAACAGGTCTGACAAACATATAAAATGCTGTCAGAAAATTATTACAGAAATGGTAGAAAACAATACTATCTTGGATTCACAAATGGATACATTATAAATACCTATTATAAGTACATATGTCAGTGTATGTATACTACCTGTTCTCTGTTAAACTGCTACACAACTTTGAGCAGGTAAAAATGGAAAGGAAAAAAAAAAAAGAAAAAAAGAGAGAGACAGAAAAATATCATTAAAATTTGTTAAGGTGTCTGGCATTTTGCTTTCTAATATCCAGGTTTAGGACTGATGTACGTATTCTTCCACACAGTTTTGGATTTTTCTGTAGCTTGTAATGAGATCCCACTATCTTTTCCTTGCAGCAAGAATCTGTGGTGGGAATTTCATGAGGTATGTCAGCTGCCTCCAGAAGTTATAAACACATTGCTTTGCTCAATTAGTTCTACAGTTAAATAAATAAACAGTCACCTCATCCTTCCCCAAACAGTAAATTTCACCCAGCAAACAGCTGGAAACACTTAAGTTTTTAATTTTCTTATTGGCCTGCTTTTAGAAGCAAAGTATTTATATTTCCAGTTCTCTTACACAGATCCTTTATGGAAACATTGCTGAACTAAGACTCAGTCTCTCATTTAAAGACAGACAATTATTTTGATATGCTAAATTTGTTACCAGGTTTCAACAATAAATTCTTGTTTTTACGGATAAGCTGCAAGACTTCCATAATTTACGTGACTGTTCTGACACTAAGCATACGTAGAGAAGGGAAATAAATTTTCCAAAATAGCAACCTACATAACACAGACACTTGTGGATATATTAGAACAGTATGTCTCTTAGCAACCACTGCCAACCATTTCAGACTGTATATACACAGGCTTTGGAAAAGAACAGTTACATTGTTACATACAGCATTTTATCAAAACATACAGCTGAAATCCAGAAACACATCCATATTAAAAAAAAAAAAAAATAAGGCAAAAAACAAGCAAATAAGAAAAAGCCTCAAAAATGCCCATTAAAAAAAACTCTATCTTTTTTTTATATAGCCATTCTCATTGCTGATTTCAGACTGTCGACACTTGCGTTGTCACTGTCATGGAACATCAAACATGCTTCATGTCCTTAAGTCTCAAATTGGTTTCCTATGTAAGTGGTTTATAGTCACAGATTCTAAGGAATTACTGTAGACACAGAACAAATACAGTAAGAAATGGAAGGATAACCTGGTTCCTACAGGCTGAAGACAAACACACACACAGAAAAGTATCTTCTTGCATATATATATACACACATACAGCTCAACGTAACTTTTTATAGAAAAAAGTGAATTTTAAATTGACACACTGTGCACAGCAGTACGTACAAATGCATCACTTAACCATATGGCCAGAACTTAGGACTCCTTAGAATTCTTTCAAAGTCTTAACTGTGATATCATACATTTTCAGATACGCAAGTTTTAAAATGTCGTATTTTCCTCTTTCAGTAGATACCATTCTTTCACTTAGTAGATTTAAAAAACACTAACAGGACTTAAAAGAAAAAAGTAAAAGCCTTGGTTTAGACCCATTCTACCATTCCAAACTCTCAACATGTTTGAACACATTGAAAGGGCATAAGTGGGATGCCACCAGTCATGACCAAGTCCAGCAGCACATAACAAGAGCATCCAGGAATTATTTTCTCTAGGTTTCTAAGTGGAACACAAATATGCCTTCTAATGCAATCCTGCTAAAGAAAATAAAATCAGTCTGGAACTGTAAAGACTGGTTATCTCCCCATGCATATTCTTATGTCTCCACTAGGTAACTATGATCAGACTGGTGTAGCCCCTTGTTCAAGTCAGCATTTAGATGAACAAAAAGGGAATTTCACCACAGAGGTTGATCTAGATGACAAACACCATTGTATTTAGAAGATGGGTAAAATATACATATCCTGTTGCTTCTGTAGGGTGAAGAAGGTCTGTGATATTAAGAAGGAAATTGAAGTCCCTCCTTTGAATCTTTGAATCTAAGGACAGAAGTTGCTCTCTTTGCTATGGTTTTTAGTTATCCATAAAAATCATATACACGGGCAGTAAAAGCACTACTTTTATTGCCTGACCACTACAGGGAAAAATAAAAGCTGTAGGACAAAGAGGTGGAGAATGGTCTTCACAAATGCTGAGTGTCTCCTGCCACTTTTAGTTTGGCTTTTGTCCAAGTCTCAGCCCACAAGGAAACTTCCTTTTCTGACTAAGTAGGAATCTTTCTAAATTTCCCTGATTTCAAAAGCAAGCTACAGGCAGCATTAAACTTGAAGTTCTTTCTGACTTTGCAATTATACAAAAATTCATGATGGGAACAGAGAACACAAGACAGGCCTATTCCCAAAACCTGAAGATGAAAGTCATATCTGTGGAATTTCCTGGCCTATCCCAGAAAACATCTTCCAACAGCCACCTCTGTTCTGGCATCTGTCAAGGCCTTGACAAAAATTCCTCATCAAAGAAGAGCAAGTACTGTAGTTTCAAGTGAAATAACAAAGCATACAAGAAGCCTAGCTTGTACAAAAGGAGGAAGAAGGGAAGAAGGTTAAATTTGAAACACAAAAACCCTGGCTACCAGCTGACCGAATGACAGAAGCCATTTCTTCCATTTAGCCAAAACAATGGCAAGCACACTACAAAAATAAAGGTACCCATTCTTTGCCAGTGTTGTTTATTATTGATACTATTTCTTCCATGCTTTTAATAGAGCTTGAACGTCACATGGCCTTTTGATTTACTTCCTCCCCGACCACTACAGAATCACTGTTTTCAGAACTGCACTGGGAATAGATTTCTTAATGAACTTCTGCCCCTCCTGGAGCTCTCCAGCAGAGATAAAGGGAGAAATACTCTCCCTTTCCAACAGAAACATTTTAACAATATTAAGACACATTAAAACAGGCATTTAAGTAGTCTCTCTAGATATCACCCTTTTTGGACTACTTGATAGCAAATCTTTCATTTTTCAACAATTACTGCTTCAGCTCCCTCTCATAACCAGTAAGTCAAATATTTTGATTAAGGTATCAAAACTGGATACAAACCATCCGTTTTATATATCTATAGCAACGAGACTGACATATAAAGACACATACGTTTCCCCTACCTCCACAGACTGAAAACTTTCATTGTATACACTTGCTTAGCCTTCTTCTGTTGCAAATAAAATCACACTTTCAAATTCTAAGCAAAATATTTCTAAATACATTTTTTTCAAAAGCAAAAGGAAGCCTTAAAGAAAAAAGGTCAGCTTACCTGCAATACAAATTTCTGATCTATGTATTTTTTGGCAATGCTGGGCTGAAATTCTTGGCTTTCCAAAAATCGTATGAAAAACTCATATACAAGCTGAAGAAGAATAGAAAAGAAAAAATCAATGGTTTAGTTTATGACTTGATTACTCTTTATATTTTAAAGTCTTTCTCTAAATTCTTTTGCTAGAAGATAAAACACTTATTTTTCCACAGAACAAAAGATTAAAAAAAAAAGAAAAAGATTTTTCTCCTTTATCAAATTGTTATCTTAAGAGTTACAATTAATTATATGAGCTTTTAAAAGTTAGTTTTGCTTATTAAAGTCCAGTCAAAGACATTTCATCACCAAGAACAGGCATTGCCATTTTGTAATGCTTGTTACCATCTTGTAAAGCTTCCGAGAGTAATTGGAAAGCACACTTAAACTGCCCTCTGAATGGCTAAGTCACATCAAATACAGACATTACAATTCTGAAAGGGCTGGTGAAACAGTTGGAAATATGTAAATTAAATTAGAAACTGCTTAGAGTAGCTTTCTACTACAACGTGAAACACAGAAGGAGAATACAAACCAGTATTTATTCAGAAGTTCCTAACTTACTGTTAATATTAGCCTCAGGGCTGGAGAAAACCTGCTTACTTTCAAGCAAATCCATCTCTGCCTAAACTATTCAGTGGGACAGTAACAGACTTCTAATACAGCAGAGAAAAAGAGTATGAAAACCAGGCAAAAAGGAAGTGAAGTGAAACAGAGACTGCTGTGGCCTTTCTGTTGAACCTTTTCAAGAAGAGCAGCTATTTAAAACCTTTTCCTTTCTGACTTCAGTGAGTATGAATATTGATACCGAAAGGAGAAAGGAAGCTAAAAATTACATTTTAAAATAATTTTGAACTTTTTCATGCTAACATCAATATGGTGAAATACTGCTGCTGCTTTACGTCAGTGTTCTCTGACTTCTAAAAGGATAGAAAATCAAAAAGGGGGAGAGAGGTTTAGAAATATGATATGGAAAAAGTGACAGCTTACATAACTAATATTAAATCATCAGGAAATCAATTCCATCAACTCCTGACAAATACTTTGGTGCATTTCTTTCTTCCTGACAACGGTAAATCATCCACCAGCTAAGAAATGCCATCATTTCCATGTAAATAATGACTTCTAAAACTACAGCACTAGTGTCAACGAACATAAGATAGCAGATACATATGCCTGTGCTGTTTCCAGTAAGGCAGAGCCGTTCAGAGCTGCCTTGAAGCTTTTAAGATTCCTTTTTTTCTTTTTTTAATATGAGAGATAAAACCTACATTTCAACAAATTCTGAATTTGTAGCACAAAAGAGTGACACAAACTGCTCACAGACAAGGAATGAGCATGCAACTGTCCAGTAAAATCCTTATTTCAAGCTGAGATCAATTGTGCTCCTTTACTCACAGAAACTTCCAGATTCCACAAACTGTTACTTCTCAGGCAAACTTCTTCTAAATTTACTAATGGTGTAAGTCATTGTTCTGACTAACACAGACAGGATCTGCATCTGTATTTTCTATAAAGAATTTTACTGCATTAGCATCGGTGATGCTTTCTCCAAAATTATTTTATGGTCTTTGTTCAAAATACCATGTGTTGACATTCAAGGTACAGAGGAAGGGATGATACACAACAATGAGCGTGCATCCTAGTACAAACACCTGAAATCAACCCTTGACCAGGAAGGAAGGAAGACTCAGATAAGGATGCAGCTTCTCATTCATATTTCTGATCACCTACCAACACCTGTGTACTTTCGTTTGAAAATTAACTACCCTCTGTAAAGCAAAACTGTGAGAAGTATCAACCCCACAATGTTCTTGCAGAAATTGCTGAAAGACACTTGCGCAACGGAGTGGTTTGGAAAGCAGAATAATTTTTAAATCAGTGAAGGAAAACAAGAATATGAGTGGCACCATCAATACAATTGTGAAAGAAAGCTTCAAAATTTTGCAAATTTCGAAGTACTCTTCCATCTTTGTAGGTACTATATTAGAGCCATGAACAATATTAATACATGTGTCTCATATACTAGTTCAGATTCACAGGTTAAAAAGCAGCTGAGAAAATTATTAGATATATTAAGCAGTGATACGCATTTCTGAGACAAATGATGAAAAACCTGTAAATGTGGCCACGATGCCTCCAAGGTGGGCTCATCTTCTTCTGGATCAAATTCATTGCTGTCACTAGGTGGGAGAGTTCTGAATATATTGCAAGATACCTGGAAAGTGAAAAGAAAGAATTATGAGATCTGTTTTTCAAATAGGTACTAGATCTCAGACTCTGTATGTCTATACTTACTCTCTTCCGTCACATAAGCAGTGTTTCTTTTGCCTGCTATCTGACAAAGCTCTTCAGCAACAGCACAGGTCTAAGAAACCTGACAGTTTACAAACCTGCCACATGCCTCGCCTTTCCCTTCTCTAGATGTTTTTGTTTCTTCTTTCCACTACTATACTGGCATTACCCAGTCTGCCACCATTTCTGTCCACCATTTTCCAGATGAGTCAACCAACAAGTAATTCCCAACCCTACTAGGCATCAATGAGCTGAGAGCCACAACTGTTTAGGAGTTGCAGGAAATGCCATCAACACACATTTACAAGTGTTTTCATACAACACTTATTTTCTGTTACACAGGGAAAACATTGATGATATCTGATTAAGGTCTCATCCATCAGCACTTGTTAAAAATTGCGAGTGCTATTTACACATTATACGCCTGGACACCTCGTGCCAAGTACAGAAATCGGCATTAAATAAAAGCAACAAACAGTATTTGCTCAACAGCTAGCCTACATTTTATTTCATGGTTGTTTCACTTTGCCTAATCTTATTTAGAGGAATTTTGCTGAGATTGCTTGGCTTTGTGAGGTCCATGCTACCAGCAAAGACTGAACAAGAGTGCTTTCCTGGGTTAATCATAGTGCTGAATGGAGTGTACAGTTTATTATGCAGCAAATCTGATGAACTGCAGACATAGTGTAGAGCCTTTTCTGCACTTTGAAGGTGATGTTGTGTCTTCTTTGCACTCTGCTACTGCATTTGACCCATTTCTAAGCTGTTAATCAAACAGCTGGGAAAAGCAGCATGTTATCTCCTAATCCTGTCTGTACATGACCCCTTCAATGGAGTTCAGACAAACTAAGCTATTTAAGAAACAAAGCTAGTATATTCTGCAACATCCTTATTTATTTTTCCAGCCTTTTACTCCTGTAAAAGTTTAGAAGTTAGTCTGTAAGGCATATTTTCAATGTTGGCAACTTAATAAGAAAGGACACGTTAAAGCGAAGAGTTTAAATACAGTTCAAACACTGAAAAAAACGGATTGAAATAGAAAGAGTAAAGCTTTGCAAGAAAATATCTGCAAGAAAATCAGAACAGAATCAGGTACTGCATAAACAGAAAGATGAAACAACAGAAAACTGTAGGAAAGCACATGTGCTGCATACCAGTGAGGAATATTCACTGAGCACAAGGGAAAGATAAAAGAAAAGTACGGCAAACCAGTGAGCACAGGAAAAAGAAAACAAAACAAAAACCAAAACCAAACCCAAACCCAATGCAAACAAAAAAGGGGTCATACAGAGTTTCTGCTTGGAGTTTTCCTTTCTTGCCACAAGAGGGTGTATTTCACTACAGTTACAGTAAAACACACTTTTACAGAAGCCTTCACTGTACATGTAAATCTCATGTTTTCAAGTCACGTGGCTTTCAACCTTAACAGATAGAGCACTTACTATAGTCTATGCTGATACTGAATTCTGCTTGCCCTGTGTGCATACCTACCAAGCGATTACTAATATTTATTAGGAGATACTCTTCTCCCTTCTCCATCTTCTTCCCCCGACTTAATTCACTTCTCTCAAGAGCCCCTCATGAAAAGACTTTCATGAGGAGGTGAAATAACCATTCAGGAATACACACATTCCTGAGCTCCTCCTTCTACTATCTCTGATTTAAAAAAAAACAATAACAGGGAGAGGAGGAAAGTTACCAGAATTAGCATGACAGAGTTGTTCTTGTGTTAAGAGCACACATCAAAAGAGGGTAGATGGCTCAAAGGATTCCCAAGTGAAAAAGGGAAAAGGTACCTATTGGTGCTTTGGATCTGAACATCTGGGATTCTGCAATACTTACTGAAGCATTTTTGGTTAATGCTTCACATGAAAAAATCCCGGCCTTCCCAGGATTTGGACCAAAATAGGAAACTAGCAAAACCAAACGCATTCCATAGCTTCCCCCCCCCCCCCCCCTTAACCCATCCCAACCCCCCCCCCCCCCCCCCACCTTTAAACTATTTGGAACAAGAACGAAATCTTCCTGCAAATTTAACCATACGTAAATTATTGAAACTTGTACCAACAGATCAGAGAAAAGATAAGTATTCATCAGCTGTTGTGTTTAGAAACTTGAACAGATACTGAATTACGGCACAAGCAAATCCTGCAAGAAACAGTGTCTACTTTCAGAATGAAAAGCTAAACTAAGACAAATTCCTGTAAGATTTATATTAAGTCAAACCAAGCCTCAAGCAGCTAGTGCCAGGGCCTAAATAGCATGACAGACGTATGAAGGGTTCAGCAACAACTAGTTAAGTGCCAGCACTGACACCTGAGTCTTGAGCTTGTAACAAAACCAGTATTTCTGGAGAGTGCCTATTAAAAAGAGGCCAGTCTCAAGGCAACTCTAAAGCAGTTTTTTTGCATAAGAAAATTAACATGCAAGAGTAAATGAACAAGGTAAAATATGGTCCTAGTGTACAGTTTGCTCTCTTTCATTTTCTTTTTTGCATTAGGAGAAAAGATAAGCTATATGAAACCAAAATGCAGATATTCTCCCGAGAAGAACAGACAGAAGAGATTATCTTTAAGTGATTTCCCCAGGTTATCATAATTTTAAAAGATAATGTGTGTCATTACTGTTACATTAATCACCACAACACAGCATGATAGCTCATTTACATACAGTGTCAATTTCTAGCATGCTTATCTGAATCAGTAGCCTCTGGGTGGCTAATGTTATATGCCTCTAAGGGAGAAGCGAAGGCAACAAGTTCTTCCATGCATGAACTGCCCAGCTGTACATTAGAGACTTTGACAGCTACCACACAAAGATGGGAATACACTACATCAAATCCAAAAGAATAATTTTTTCTCAGATGGGCATAAGGTAGCTATTTAGTATTTATCACTGGGCCCATGCAGCATGCCAAAATTCCTTCAGCTGGATAGCTGAATCATTTCTCTTCTGACCTCTGTTGGATCATCAAGCCAAAGGACATCCCTGCCAGCCGGCATATACAGTCCCTGATGATTCCTCTCCCATAGCCAACACAAACGACTACTGATCATACTGATTTCTGTCTTCCACTTGTTAGGAACATCTCCAAGCCTGGATGCTATTTTTGTCAAGCAAACCAGAACTCTAATGTTGTAGAAAGTTGTATGATGACAGACCTCCTCTTATATCCTCCATTACTGTCCCTTTCAGAAGCAACACATCAAACTGGGTGTAGAAAAGTACATCACTGCTCCCCTGCTATGCAGAATTTAAACACGCAAGTGTCAGAAACCAATTTAACAGATCAGTAATATCTACCAATTGGAACTGAATCTGAAATTTCCAAGATCAAGTCAGAAATGCCAAAATGATAGATTTTTAAATTTGAGATGCCAGAAACCTCTATGCTCCATGTCAATGTGTTACACACAGTTCTGACCAGAAGAAAAACAAAACCAAGTTCTTTGCTGTGAGGGTGGTGAGACACTGGCACAGGTTGCCCAGAGAAGTTGTGGCTGCCCCATCCCTGGCAGTATTCAAGGCGAGGCTGGATAGGGCTTTGGGCAACCTGGTCTAGTGGAACGTCTCCCTGCTCGGGGCTGGAACAAGATGAGATTTAAGGTCCCTTCCAACCCAAACCATTCTTAAAAACCTTTCCAGGCAATCACATTGACTTATGTCTACTTATTAAAAACAAACAACAAGATAGCGAAGGCTGCTCTGATACTCCCACAAAGAATGAGCAGCAAATTCTAAATAGATCTGATGACTGTACCTGGCAATGCAGAACTGTGAATATACAGTTAAAAGTAATAAGCTTCAGGAAAGCTTTGATTTTATCACATTTATATTTGTAATACCTTTTAGAGAAGAAAATACTAAAAAGCGTAAGTCTGAAAGTAGGAATAAATATTTTGAGAAGTCCATTCTCTGTCCCTCACCAGAGTGCTATAAAAATGGTGATGCTGTAACAGAAACAATTCACAAATTTAATTTCAGCTCAGCACTCCTACTCTGTGCTGTTTGAAACATAGATTTTTATCAGTAGTAGTTTTCCTGAATGGAACCTGAAAACAAACATGTATGCAAGGAAGCTTAATATATTAGCTACAAAAAACCCAGGATAAGTGAATGCCTATTAGCTCACAGGATATACCTCTTCTTCTATTATCAATATGTGGAACCATCCAAATAAACCCTGTGTACATATGAAATTGAAACTGAGTATCTCTGCACATGCAACGTTTGAACTACTGTGCATATTAACAACACACAGTAACAATAACATGTCATTAAGCCATAACGTGAAGCCATGCTGTGAGACAACAATGGCCCATGGAACAGGCACTAAACTTGTCCTTCTTAAATGTATTTCTGCACATGGTTTTTTAATATTATTTAATATTGTTTACGGATTTATGTATTTTAGAGCCTGAAGTGACTACTGCAGTCACTCAGCTATAATGTCTCCATATAACCTGTTGAATTGTTAGAAGCTTGACTAAAGTACATCTTACACAAAGTAACATTTAGTTTTATCTTAAAAGATTATAAATGATTCCACCAACTCGCTTCTCCTAAAGTTTTACTACTAATCTAACGACAGCCCTGCTTCAAAGTTGAATCTGCCTGATTCCCTGTTGGTTCTTGTTAAACCACCAGATCTATTTTACATCTGTGTATATCTATTTTACATCTGTGTATATCTATTTACATATGTAGTATGTATCTATTTATATGTAGGTATTTTTATATAGCCATGACACTTCTTGACCTCTGTGCTGCTAAATGCAGAGCTAGAGCTTCTGAACCCTGGCAGTTGTTAGTTTCCTTGTTTGTTTATAATCCTGTGATTACTCTTGCTTCCTTCCTTTGAGCTCCCATCTGTGCACAGCAAATATACTGGGGTAGGTATAAAACGCCAGACCTTCTCCCTCT